GATATTAGGTCTATATATAGATATTTATCTATATATAATGAAATTTATTATATAGAGAGATAAAAGGTTCTGCAGACATGCAAAAACGTGTGCGTGTGTGTATGTTTATATGTATGAACGACACATTCTATGGACTGTTATATAATTGTGAGGCCAAAGAATTAAGGCTTCTATATGAACAAACACAATCTTTTAATTTTCCCATCAAGCTAAAAATGTACCAACTAACCCACTTCTTTTCTTTTACTAGAAATGACTACCCCAAACAAGACACCACCTGGTGCTGATCCAAAGCAGTTAGAAAGGACTGGTACTGTTAGAGAAATAGGCTCACAAGCAGTTTGGTCTCTTTCATCCTGTAAGCCAGGTAAAATCACAACAAATTATGTAAAAAACTGAATGTGCATTTTTCTTCTTAGAATATATAATATTTTATGTTTTGATAAGATGACATATATACAAAGTGTAGCAGCAGAACTGCTATAGTGTAAGCTTTGTAAGTAGCCACTACAAATAATTTTGGCCTACTCTGATACAGTATAAAAGTTATAACTATCAGAGAATCCTACGATGAAAGAATATCTCATATTACCAAAATTAATCTTTCACTGATTTTATACTAAACTGGATTTTTACTTGCACAGTGAACAGTCTAAACCATGTGAACAGAAACATGTCTGGCACTCTGTAATTGTTTCTATGCTTCAGCATTTTGCCTGGGTATCTTTTATTTTTAACTTACGATAAAAAAAGAAGCAGCTGGGCATTGGACAATGTTTTGTCCAAACTTTGTGCGGACTTGGCCATTGCCTAGTTGTGCCAGTGTAGCTCCCTAAGATACTGCAAGTAAGTGAAACTATTGTAAATGGTCGTGAGGTGCAGTTAATTATAGTTTATATCTGCTCAAAATATCTGAAAATCTGTGTTCTTTCTGTTCGAGGTGGTTGAGTTGCTCTTTCAGAAGCATCTGTGGGATTTGATCTGGTATCTTGCTGCAGCCTAGTGCCAGTTATCCCTTTATGTCACAGTATTGTGCTAAAGCTGAACATCTTTGGTCTGGTATCTTACTCTGAGAAAAATACATTATTTAGTTGCTTCAAATAGAGTGAAAGTATTTTTTTCATTTCAGATTGATCTTCAGCTGCTGAATTAAAACTGCAGTTAATGTATGCAAACAACAAAAGGATGTGATTAGTAAAAAGATAATGAGGGAACAGGAAAATAAAGATTTGGAGTTTTCTTCAAATGTGACAACATTAGTTTTCAGGAATTCTGGTTTTGGCATCTATTGCAAGTTCTAGCTCTTAACTTGAAAAAGTAAAATTATTTCAGGAGACTACTTGAAAAGAAAATCGTAGAATCATAGAATGATTTGGGTTGGAAGGGACCTTAGAGGTTGCTTAAAGCCCTGTTCAACCTGACCTTGAACACTTCCAGGGAGGGGACATCCACAGCTGCTCTGGGCAACCTGTTCCTGAATGGTCTCTGCTAATGGTTTTCCTTTAGTTCAGCAGTTCGGTTGTAGAGTAGGTGGAAAGCCTAACCACTAAGTATTGTTCTTGCAATTAGTGAGAATTACTACTTAACCATTTGGAATTCCAGGACATATTGAATGGTTTCAAAACCCACAGACTTCAGTAGGAGGTAAGACTGTAAAGAGACTTTAGTACTGAGCTTTGACTGATTCTTCTGTTTGTTTTGTGTCACGACTTGGATATTTCCTTATATGATATAATTTAGGATATGTACTTTAGTTTTTAACAGTTGTAGGAAAGTCCACATCACAGAAATGGGATACTCAAGACTATGACCTTTTCTTTTTCTTAGGATTTGGAGTGGATCAGTTACGAGATGATAATCTAGAAACTTACTGGCAGTCAGATGGATCACAGCCTCATTTGGTGAACATCCAATTTAGGTATTAAAAATTACTTTGTATGGGTTAGGGTGTTTTGTATAGCTTTGTATTGATTACTGTTCACCAAGGGAAGAATTTTGGAAGTGTAAGTATGCTGCGTTAATCTGTTTACCAACTAGCAAGAAGCCAGTTAGCATTTATAATAATGAGATTATCAAATGTTATGGCTACTAAATTTTAAATAAGCAACAAAAGGAATGTTTGCATTATGTCATTTGTAACAGTTTCACGTGTACCTACTAAAGGTGACACTTTTATCCTGACTTTGAGTGTAATTTAAAGGGCAGATCACTATTTTTTTAAAGTAATCCTGTTTGGTTTAACAACTGATTGAGAGCTGTTTTCCTAGTCTGTTCTGCTGATAGACAAGACAGCCTTTAGGATGCTTTCAGTTATTTTTCTTTCCAGACTCTTAAGCTGAGGTTAGATCTTTGTCAGCTTTTTTTACTTGCTTTCTGGGTAACCCTTTGGTATAGTAACAGAGCCTCTATTTGATAAGCTAAACATAGGCTTCATCATTTAACAAGTGCTTATTTGACATCTTGGCCTTTTGTTACATTTCTTGGTATACTGACACTTCTGAAGGCGGACAAAGGAGAACAATGAAAATCGACTCTGTGTGCATAACTCCATGCAGAAGAACACCAAATTGCTTTAACAGCGGGGTTCCTCTAAATCAGGAGACACACTTGTATTTAGTTTTAGAACATTTAAATCCTTCATTATTACAGAGTAGCAAACTTAGCCTGAATGTTTTTCTTTAGGATGCTTATATAGCTTATTTTGCTTTTTGCAGAAGAAAAACAACAGTGAAGACGTTATGCATTTATGCGGACTACAAATCTGATGAAAGTTACACTCCAAGCAAAATCTCTGTCAGAGTAGGAAATAATTTTCATAATCTCCAGGAAATCCGGGTAAGTCAGTGATGTGTTTCTGTCTTAATACAGCCCTCTCTCATTAGGGCATCTGATGTAGTAAAATTGTTCTTGGAGATAAAATATGGCATTGTGCTTGGAGTGGGAAAATGGCTGGGTTTATTTTGGTGTTTGCTTTTACTTTTTATCTTGTAAATTCACAAGGCTGGTTTCTGTTTTCAGTCAGACTCAACTACTAACATGGTTATAACATACTTGATACATAGATCCTGTCATGGAATAAAGAGTGGGGTTTTCCAGAACAGGACTGTTTAGAATTTGTTAAACTTTGATCTCACATAAAATATCTGAAAACTTTATGCACTGTATACTTCAAAAGGAAAACTTAGCTTTTTAATACTTGCATTTTTAGGCTTAACTTGAATTCATGCCTTTTTATTTTTTTTCTCTTCCCCTTCATGTATGGGTGGCTCAGCTACTGAGTCTCACTAGGAATTAAAACTTAAAACTACAGGCTTTAGTTGTGGCTGTGTATAGTCTATGTTTGGAGTCTGGATTTATTTTTTGGGAAGCTGCAGGCACTCTTATTAACCTAATTAACTAAATTTATTAACTAGCCAGTAATATATGATTCAAAGTTCACTTTGAAACCTTGGCAAAAAGAAATTGGGACACAAGGCCTGATCATCAGTTATGCAAATATTCCTTTCTATTCAACTAGTTAGAGAATCTTCATATGGGTGAGAATCTTATGTACTTGCTAGTAGCTGACTCTAGCCACTACTGATGGTGAGAGTTAGGGGAATTGCAACACTAACTTTTCCAAAATCATGTATAAAGCAAGATACCAGTTAAATTTGGAAGTAAATTACAGTCAGATTTGTTCTTTTGAGTGTATTTTCTGATCTTTTGCAATGTTTTTTTTTAATCTTGGACAGTTGCTGCGATGTAGAAATTTTGGAAGGGATGCAGTATATTTGTTTTTAACCATATGATGCAGAATCCAATTTCTATTTTTGTAGACAGGACACTTGATGCTTAAGACTTCAAATTGGATGTAGATTTGTAGTGCTTTTTAAATGTTTTTATTTACAAAAGTAAAATACAGTGTCAGTAAAAGTAATAGTCAAACCCAGTGTTTTCTCATAGTGACACTTCTAGCCAGGAGAGTTTCTTTGATGGAACAAGGGAGATCAGATTTGAGTTGCTTTAACTGCTTAGTTTTGCTTGCCTTTAGGTAAGTAGTAAAAGCAGATTTTAAAATAATCCATGATCTTTGTACAAGTCCACCTTGTAAAATAATAAGGTTACTCATGAGGAGGTATCTCTGCTAATTTTGAGTTACCAAAGTATCATGTTTGAGATTTCTCTTCTCTGGAGCTCAGCAGCTGCTGAGATGGTTTAACATATTTCCCTTATATGGGAGGTATTACAATAACAGAATGATTAGAATGATGAGAAAAGGGAGCTGCTAAATAGTGGACTGAATTTTTACTTTTGGTATTTTTATTGGTTTTGCTTTATTTTTCAGTGTTTGAAGTTCCAACAAGAACAGCTTAGAAGTAGAAGGTTGTAGAGACAGTAGAAATAGAAAGTGTAGTAAACATGTAGGCTTCTGTTACGTTGATGCTATGTATCTGTCTATATCCTTGCAATGATTTGTGACGTTCTCTCAAGTTTTGAACTATACTTTTATCCTAAATCTTAAATGGATGGATCTTGCACTCTTTTACTTTAAAAAAAAATATTCTTTTGAAAATAAATGAATCGTCATATTACTGGGATTCGCAGACTGTAACGTAAGAGCAGCTGCAGCTTTTCTGTTAGGTTCTAGGTCTCTTTTCCGGACGTCCACGAGATGTCACTGTTGTCCTTAATTAGCAGTTGGGTTTTGTGCTTGTAGTCTACTTATCCACTAAGTTATGATTCTTTCATAATAATGTTTTGTGCAGCATTATACTTATAATCACAATAACTTGTTTCTTTTACAGTGGTAAACTTCCATTTTTGAAGGTATATGTGTTATTAAAGCTCTATGAAAACAGTAAAATGTATAATAACCATGTTAGTCTTCAGCAGTTTCTCAGGCAGTATTTCTTTAGGTTTTATTGCTTGCTAAACACAGGATTCTATACATAATGTGTTTGGTTATAAAAAGACACTTCTAAGTGAAACAAGTTACTAATATCTTTTATAGTATATTAATATCACTGTAGTGTGTTGCATGAGAGCAGTAATCCTTATGCGTACCATGTGCTCATTTGTCTTTTTTTACTTCAAAACAGAAGAAAATATGGCCACGCTGCTTACTAATGAGATACAATACTTAGGTGCAGTAAAATAGTAGTGACGAAATTTGCTACTGAAATGTTAAATATTGCTATCAATTTCCATATTTCCTAAATTGCTTGATATTCAGAAGGTGTTTCATATTTTTTTTTTCTGTTCTGAAGCTTTCTCTTCAGCTTCTCAGACACATAGGCAGGCTATTAAAGCAGTGTGAAATGTTATGAGATCTTTAGAGAAATGTGCTTAATTATACAATGATTCCATTGGTTTCTGGACTGATTAACTAGGTGGAAAATCCAGCTAAATAATTTTATATTTTTCCATGGTTGCTTGCCCAGTTCATAGTGTCTAACAGAAGTCCTAGGATGCCTCAATGTGTTTTCTTCCTAATGCTGAAATTTTCAAAACAATGCAATGTGCTGTTAGGCTAGCTTTTATCACTAATATGAAATTAGCTTTAGTTTGTGGTCTAGTATGTACGCATATCCTTTTTGTAACCTAAGGTGAAATTATATTCTGAATAACAGGTTTTTTCCATATTAGAAAAAGTAATTTTTACCCCATTCTGTGGGTGAGAACAGCCGTCATAATCTGGCAGTATTATTCCCTTGCTCAGCTGGAGGAACTACTGTTGAGATCTGTGCAGTAAGCTGCCTCCTCTGACTTAAGTGCCTTTTTTTCATACCTGTCAAATTTGGAGAGAAATATTTTCCTTCTTCCTGACTCGAGACTTCTCCCACATAATGGTGCAAACAGTCTGAATGGACAAGGTGGTTCAGGGAGGCATTTTTGGAACAGCATCCAGGCTTGAGTATGTGATTTAAGTGATTATACTTTCTCACGATATGAAAATAACCCGCTGCAAAGGATCTGTGTGAAATGTTGGCTGCAAGAGATTTCTTGTCTCTTCAAATAATGCTTACCTACTTGATGCCTTTGTACCTCTCCAAGACATTTAGTTTATCAGTAGTTCACCTTACTGTATAAAGATTGCTACGATGTGAAGTGCAGGGAGGATTTGAGGTTATATTCACCTAGTAGTTTCAATGGCTTCTGCTGTCAGCCTATAATGTAGGGACTTTGCACAGCAAAGCAAGATACCTGTAAACTCTTGTATTAGCCAGTTCTACATCTTCCGATACGCTCTGAGGAAGGTGTGGAGTGTCTGAGGACGCTCTGGGAAGGTGTGAGTCAGGCTTTCTGAAAACAGTTACTTCTCACATTAATTCACATCTGAGAAGCGACTGGTATTTAATCCCAAAATTAAAGTTGCTTTAAAAGGTAGAACTCCTCTAGAAAGAGACAGTCTTCTGTTCTGCTATGCGCTATAGAGGACTCAAACACAGAATGTGGCATGTATGTCTTGACTGTAACTAGGTAAGATGCAACTAGACAGGTATAATTTGCTTCCTATTCCAGCAGGAGTTAGTTCTTCCAGCACACTTTTTGGACTTTCCCCATGATTTTTGGGGTAGGATGTTTTTCATTTAGTTGTTTGTGTAGTTCAGGGAAACTGGTAAGCTTTGTGATAGGAATGAACCATTGCTAGTGTATGGCATTGCTATGTGTTCATGGCTTTCAAATTGCTTAAGGATAGTAATAATCCAGAGGGCAGATAAGATGAATTAATGTTTAGGACTGGAAGGGAAATACCCCATTGGAGATGGGGACAGGAAGCCGCTGGCTGTGAATGTGCTGTCTTTATGCAGTAGGGTAAATCTGCAGATAGCATCATGGCTTTGTGTAACATAGGTAAGTGAAATGTTTGCTCTTTTCTTCTTTTGGAAGCCATGCAGTCTGAAGCAATGGTGCTGGAGCAGGGTAACTCCTGTGGTTAACAACCTTTATTAGGCATGCAGTGATCTGTCATTGGGCAGCAATGGCTACGTAGCCCTAATGTGACGAAAAGACACTTTGTCACTGGAGGTCCACTGTAGCAGACTTAGCATCAAAGAATGATACTGAGTATTAAACATTGCTTTGGAAGAGGCCTGCTTTAGCTCAGTTGCTGTATGCTTTCCTCCTGGAACAAAAGCCTACTTAACCTTTTAAGCAGGACTTGATTCTAAAGGTGCCTTTGAACACTGGGTGTAAGCCTTGTTATCTTAATATGTCTTTGCTAGCAACACCCCTAGTCCTCTGTTTTAGCTTTTTGTTGTCTTTTGTTGAATTGCTGTCTATTTCGTTTTCAGTTTGTTTTCTAGCCTTTTTGGTCTTGCTTTGGTGTTTTGTAGCCAAGTGCTCCAGGGCTGTAGCAAGACAGCAGCCTCCCTGATGGCACGGCATTGTGACCAAGCACCACGGACAGGGCCACTTCTTCACTGTTTTAAGAGCTTCGGCACCAGTGCAGGGAATTCTCAACCACAGGAGCTTCTCTTACAGAGAAGTCTGACCCTATTGTAATCTCTTTACTCCTACAGTGTCCAGTGATTGTAGTGCAGAGGCTGGACTTTTCTAGACCTTTTCTGAAACTCACCAGCTAGTAATCTCAACCTGTTTTCTGCCTGTGGAATAAACTTAGCTGCTGAGGAACAAGGAGATAGTAACATGTCATAGGACTGCAGCAAGCTATTGAATCAAGAAAATGTAGTGTTTCTGAGTCTGATCAGACATTTCTAAGGTGCATTTTAAACTGCTTTCTTCTGAAGATGAAGTACTGAGTTGTTACTGCCTTATTTAGATTCCTGACTAGACTTCAGGTACTTTGGTTAGAAACCCTTCCTCTGTGTTCTTTCTTACATGTAAGAAAA